GACTCAGAAGTTTCTGAAAGTCATCAAAACTAAAAGAATCGCTAGCTTGGGATTGTAAAGCAGCCATTGAAGAAGGAACGAAATTTTTCAGAGTTACGTAACAAGGAAGCAAAAGATGAACAGTGAATCGCGAAGAATGCGTAAGAAATATGAAACGTGATTTCGTAGCAGTAAAATGGCGTGTTTGGAGTTTATAAGGGTTTGCGAAGCGACGCACCTTTTCAAATTATAGAAGGAAACAATGATTGAAATTCTTTGGGAATCGTAAACGTTGCTGAAGACGTGAAGTGAATATGGCAAAATTCAATAATTATTATTAATTCTGCCATATTGGGGGGTAATTGTTGACACATAAAAATTCAGCCCAAATCGAACAGCCCAGAGAGTAAAGCCCAATTGGAAGATCTCCAAATCAGATAGCCTAAAGAACGAAATCCAATTGAACGAATCAAGGTGAATGCCCAAATAAGGGGTCCAATAGTGCGGTAACGACATCGTCCAAGTTTGCAAGTCGCTCAGAGTCTGAACGAATAGAGTGACATACGGTCGTCCAGAGTCTCGCCCAAATCTTCAAGTCGCCCAAGGTATCAACAAACACAACGCATTATGATGCAGTTATTGAGGCAGTTGCTAAAGTAACTTTTATCACGTTCCACGACTCAAGGGGTTCAATCGAAAGCGGTTGAACGATGCAAGATAATGGCAGCAGTTAAAAGGACAGTTTCATGACAAATGGCCACTACAAAGAAAGTGGATAGTTATAGGGCGATCAAGCAGTTTTTTAGAGCAGTTAATCACAAAGGGATCGCCTATGAAGTATAAAAGGGAGAAAGAACTTAGAAGCAAAGGACCGAATCCAAAACTCTCGAACAGAGAATATGTAATTTTCATTCCTTTAGCTTTTAGACTTAAACATTTCCTTTTCTGTAACTCGTGTGCTTGCGCCCCTTGGAGGCACGTTGTCTTCCGTTTCCAATTGTAAAGTTCATCACCAATAAAAAGAACACCCCTTTTTGGGACTTTGTCTCAAGAGGTTTCGTCCCTTACACAATCGTCTGATCCTCTTTAATTGTTAGCGAATTAACACGCGCGAAACAAATTTGGCACGCCCAGTGGGACAGTGGTGTTAGGTGTTGAAAGTGCAAAAGG